TGTTAATTTTTCATAGAGGTCTAGTGATTTAAGTTTAAAATTACTTAAAATATAAAAAAATATAATATAAATGCATTTTATTTTTACAATAATGCCAAACCTTTAAAATGACTAGATTAACTTAAATAAATATCCATTGTTAGTATAAAATTGACGCCTTAGAAAAGCATGCGCCTCTGAAGCGTATGGTTATCTTTTACGTACGTTGTCATATGGTTATCTTTCTAGGGTTAAACAACAAATATCGTATAATCGTCTCGCATCAGAAAAAAGGAAAGAACTTATGGGACACCCTAATATTATAAGACTTGCTCCAATAATATATCTTATTCAAGCGTTTTCCACGAAAGAGTCTCGGAACTTTGCAGAATTGCAAAATAAGAATGCGGTCACTTTGACCGCGGTAGGTTTATTGTTAATACGCCGTCCGAGAACATTTACGCGACGAACTTTACTGCGCGAATTTACGGCGTCCCGGTTCTTTTAACGATCGCTCAAATTTAGTCGTACGTTTAGAATCTTGTAAAATTATATACCGTTCGATTTGGGAGAGTCTGGAGAATCGTTCTGTGCGAGGATCAATCGTCTAGCTTGCACGATTAAAAGCGGAACAAATTTTTCAAGTTAAAAATTCACCTTCCTCTTCCAGAATTTTTTAGAAACCTTCTAGCTTCTCGATTATCGGGAAGAAAGAGTCAAACACATACGGTATAATACTAGACTGCGGATCTTTATGAAAAATCCAAATTTTCTGCATCATTTTTAAGAAACGGAAGATCAACAGAAACTTCTTATCTCCTTCAATAATTTTAATAAGCTGAAATGAATGCATCAACGTTCTTGAATTCGTTCAGTTCTTTTCTTTTCACTTCTTTTCAGTTTTATACTTTGCTCAATCATTTTTGTCATAAATGTATAGAATCCGCAATCTAATAATTGCAGTCATTTACACAATTTCCAAAGAGATTGCAAAATATATACGAGATTACGAATAAAGCGTGATTGGTGAAATGAAAGTGGCCAAGAAAAGTGAAAGTCCCCCAAAAAAATGGAAGACTGGTTTCCACAACTATTTCCGAAAATCTTATGTAGGCTAAAGAATCGGTATGGCCGACGACGCTTCGCAAGGGCAGCTTGAGACACGTTGGCCGAGAAATTCAGCGGCAGGTTGGCATGCTCATGGGCAACCTGTTTCCCGGAAGGAAAGGTTGCGAACATAAACGCGTCCTGGAAGATTTATCCGCCGCGGCAGTCGGCAACGTCCGCGTATTTTGCGAGGACATCGCGAACGTAATCACGCCGAAGACAGTTCACTTGCCAAGCTTTTTCGGCTGCCTTACAAATGGCCGCCATAAACGTCCCGGTGGCGTTACGACGCGTCGACGACGGCCACGGAAACGGCAGGAATCGGCGCGATTCTCGCCGGCAACGAGGGGGAGAAGGCTGCGCCATTAGCTTCCAGGTGTTCGATATCCCATCCGCGCCGCGTCGTTCCCCTTGTTCCCGGCCGATCATGCTCCAGATCATCCCCCGAATGCCAGTGTAAGTTTCACTATACCGTCGACGATACAGCGCCGATAGGGCGCGAACCACGAAATGGAAAGGGAGAGGCTGGAGCCAGAGAGAAAGAGAGAAAGAGAGAAAGAGAGAGAGCTGAAGAGAGACGGAAAAAGAGCTGATGAGAAAATAGAGAAAGAGCTGAAAGAGAGATGGAGAAAAAGATGAAGAGAAATAGGGGAGAACTACCATGAATGGGATGCTTTTGTTTAGGACGAGGTAACAAAAAAGTCTAAACGACCTATCTAATTCTAGTTTGAAACGTTCGAAAGATTTCTAGTTCTTTTATTAGAAGAGTGTATAGTGTAGATACGCGTTTCACTTGCGTTTGCTTGTTTTATTTTTAATTTGCTTAAAAAGTGCATTTCGTTCTATTCACCAATTGGTTGCATTGAATGGGACAGTGTAACGAAATAAAGCGATCTTTGTATTGATATTATAAGTACTGTTTTTTTTATTGATTGCAAGTACATATGATATTACATGTATAATGATCTTAAATTACATAAATCTTTCTTCTTTGCGTCTTTGGTTAATATCGCACTTTAAGTATTTTATGGCAAGAAATAATATTTTTCATAAAAAGAAACTAGGAGAAAATTAACAAAAATTTCTGAATAAAGGTATCTTAAAAATTGTACTAACAGAGAAATAGAGCGAGTAAAATATTGGGTTGGCAACTAAGTAATTGCCGATTTGTTCAATGAAAAAAAAAATTTTTTTTTACTTGGAATCAAGTTTAATCTGTCATGTATTTTCCATTTTGTTCGACGACCTTTTGCCATCTCTCCGACAAATTGAAAATTCCACGCTCGTAGAAGGTCTGATCCTTTTCGGCCAAAAACTGAGTTAAGTGAGATTTTACAGCGTCATCATCATCGAAAGTTTTACCACGAAGGGAGTTGTCCAGGGATCGAAATAAGTGGTAATCCGATGGCGCGAGATCAGGACTATATTAATCCCTAACCAATATCCATGAATTTTTGCCGAGTGGACAAATACGTGTGCGGCCTAGCATTGTCCTGCTGGAAAATGACACCTTTACGATTGACCAATTCTGGTCGCTTTTCCTTGACCGCTGCATTCAATTTGTCCAGTTGCTAACATTCACGGATATTAAAAAATAACATAATAATAATAATAATAATAATAATAATAATAATAATAATAATAATAATTTTATAATATAACATTTACGGATATCATAAAAATGGGAGTGAGAGACATCTATAACTGTGAAATCGGCAATTACTTAGTTGCCAACCCAATAGAAATAAAGCAAGAAATAGAGAAACAGAAATATAGAGAGAGAAATAAAAGAAGAGAGACAGAGAGAGAGAGAGAGCGAGAGAGAGAGAGAGAGAAAGAATCGAGGAAGAAATACAGAAAGAGTAATAGAAAAATAGAGAATAATAGAGAATAAGAGAGAAATAAAGAGAGAATAATAAAGGATGAAAGAGAATGAGAGAGGAGAGAGAGAACGGCAGAGAATGAGAGATAGGGAGAGTAATCCTCGACTAATCCCCGGAGTTCTTGGAAATCGCGGTTAATGGGGTTTCGAAAGTTTCTCGCGGATGCACTGCGACACAGCCATGGGAGCCACGGTTTATTCCCAACCGAAGAGACGGCCCTCGAATTCGCGTCGTGGCTGCTAGGAATTAATGAGATCCGTGGTCTAAGCGCTCGATCAGTGTCAGAGCTGATTCCCTGCTTAAAAGTACACCACCTGTTAAGGAATCGCGGATCTTTTTGCCACTATTGCATTCCGCGAATTCTGGGACACCTGATGCGTTTAAAGAAACTTTAATCTCCTATGGAATTACTTTCTTCGATATTAGCAACATCGACGTTGTTTATTCACCCGCGGCAATCGGTTTTATCGTCCGATTCGGTAATTCTACGAGCTTTTTCTCTGATCGACGAATGTTTCAATGTTTGCACGTTGCAAATTTTGCAAGATTTGAACAGCAAAATATGCATCGACAATCGTTGCGATAAATTCAAAGAAATTAGCATTCTTTTTGCGTGTATATAACTATCTTATAAAATAGGTGTTAAATAAAAACGTATTCTTTCTTTGAATGTCTTTAATGAATTGAAAATAGCGTAACAATATTTGTAAATACTTGCGACGTTTCTCCTGTACTTTTTAAACCAATTTTCACCAATGAATGCAAAAGGTGTTCGCGGTCTATTAATAAGGCACGTTGAACAATTTATGCATTGTAACTCGACGAAGTTGGTCAGCGCGCTTTCGTTAAGAGTAATAAATAACGTTTAACGAATGCTCCTTGCCGGTGTCGAGGTTTATCGAGCAAACTGTCCCCATGGTAACCTAATTAATGATAATTTGATTAATAGCGCGGTATTCGACGTGCTCGGTGGACTGCCGTCTGGAGCAATGTGTGCCTAGATGCGAATCGATATTTCGAAGAGCCAAGGCAGCTTGTACGTCTTCCTGTTATGCGCCGGCAAGATTAAGAACGCCGCGTATTACGGAACTTTACCGCATGGATAAAGCTTCGTGTACGAACCGTAAGAATATCGGCAAGTCTCGTGTCTGTCAGCGGAATGGTTTCCCTGCGGCTCGACAACGCTTTCAACCTTTATCTTATTCGTTAACCCTTTGCACTCGAATAGTGACTCTGAGGCACCATTAAAAAATTGTTATATATCACGTTCTAAGATAATTTTTATATTATTAAATCTTAGATTTGAAACATTACTGAAAGTGTAGCTGTTGCATAAATCGCAAGACTCAATTTCGTACGCATAAAATACACTTTGTCGTGTAAAATGAAAGTAATACAAGTCAGAAAAATGATTTTAGATTTACAGTTAAAATGGCTTCGAGTGCAAAAGGTTAACCCTCGGCCCACGGTTACTGGGTCGGTTTCATTCAGTGTACTTTCAATTCTCGCCTAATTGCTCAATTTACAGAAATATCACATTATCGGATATTAAATCAGATGAAGTTTTATCTCGAATAAAATATTTTGAAAGCATATTAGATAAAGTATTCCACAGACCGGTAATGTTTATTGCGTTATTGTCGACATAAAAGTGGTAAACGAGAAATTAAAATGAACAGTTTTTACTTTGCACATCGATAATGAAGGTTTCATTTTTTACCATTTTTTTCTTACAATTTCATCATCACCACAGATGAAGAAGTACACAATTAGTAGCGGTCTCGCAGATCGGCAATAATAAATTTAGGATTAAACGATCGTTAAGGGTCGAATAAACGTTGATTTCTATCGAAACATCAATTACGATGATTCGAGCGAAACGAAAATTAGTTCCGCTTTATTATCTCGCGGAGTTGTTTCAAACCGAATAAATACGACATTCGCTGCACAATGGCGAGCGCGGACAATAGTTGTTGCAATAAATGCATCGGCCGGTGGCCGAAAGTGTTGCGAAACTCTCGAACGGGTTCTACTTAAAACATGGACAATGGAACGTCGCGGAGAAACGTTTCCACTTTACGAGTATCGTTGTATAGTTTATCCTTGGCACAAAGTCCGGAGTGCCGACAAAGTGCAACCGGGACACGGCAAATTCTAGTTCGCTTAAAGTACGCGGGGGCCGATCGAGGATTTAATCAGCGAACTGGCAGCGTCTCTCGTGAGCGTATTTCCGGCAGGGATGGATTAGCTCGGCGCATCCGTTATCTTTGAACGCGCATTCCTCCATCCTGTAATTGCATTTTTCCTCGTGGCTTTCGAGGCGGCCGCGCTTCGGCCTGACCCGGCACCCGTGCTCCGCCCATCTGCAAGCGACCAGCTCGTCCGGATCGCACTCCTCCTCCTCCTCCTCCTCCTCCTCGGGCCTACGGTAGTTGCACTTCTCTTGGTGCATCGACTGCCGTCGCCTCGGCATCCTCACCATGCAGCCGTACTTCGCCCACTTGCAGATGACCAGCTCGTTCGGATCGCGCTCGTCCTCCGTCGACGAATCGTCTCCCTCGCTGTGATACTTCCGGTAGTTGCACTTCTCCTGGTGCATCAGCTTCCGCCGCCTGGGCATCCGCACCATGCAACCGTACCGCCTGTATTTGCATACCAGCAGCTCCTCCGGGTCGCCGTACCCCTCGCTCGTGATCGTTATCTCACCCAATGACTCGCCCAGCCCTTCGAACGCCTCGAAACGGTCCTTGTAGCCGCAGTGAGCCTCGTGGATCGAGATACGCCATGGCGACGTTCGCACCCTGCAACCGACCGTGTGGTGCCTGCACTGGACCTGGTCCTCGTCCCTGTGCAACACGTCCGTGGGAACGCTCTCCTCCTCCAAATGAGGTCGGAACTGACACCTGCGACACGCAGAATTAGGACTTTCAGATATCTGCGTTCAGAAATCTCCTTCAGAATTCTCTTCTAAGGATAGCTATGGTGCACAGAGAGGCGAATGGACGATATTGTGCCGAAACGAAAGAATCTAGAATTATTATAACATTTAATTATTCGAATTCGATTGTTTCAACTTTATCGATATTCTCTATTGTGATTATATTTTTCATGGAGAACTAAAATATGTCGACTCTGCATGGTATATTTCTAGAGATATCGACGAGAGAACACCGAAAGTACAAGTTTCAAAGCGCGGCACCCATCGGTTCAAAAGTCATACGTATCCAAGTTTGCGTTGCAAATTCAGCGTTAGCTTTTTCATGTTCAAGCCGAAACGTTGCAAAGTAAGGGAGAAATAGGGAGAATATGGTATGAATATTTTTCTTAACCTCGAACATTTACGTTAAACTCGAAACAACAAAACCAGCGACTCGCAGTTGCAAAGCTTGCACAGTTGAGATGCAGCAAATCTTCGAAAATGTTATTCCCGAGAATTTCGAACGGTCTATCCTTTTCAAAGCTTCGGATGGGCTACGACTATAGCCGACTATGATTTACGAACTACGACGGAGATTGATATCGTGCTCACCGAGATTCGTGGAGGTCTATCAGGTGCAACGGGATCTTCACCCAGCATCCGAGATTAGCGTACGAACATGGCACAAGTTGCTGATCCGCGGACGGAGCCGGCGGATACGGGGTTCTCTCGTTATTAAGAAAATCCAGGCTGGGCGCAGTCGGATGATGTTCGTGGAATTGCGGTGGTAGAGGGTGCGGCATGAAGTGAGAAGGCGCGGGCATCGGGTAAGATGGACCGGCGTGCGGAGAGGGCTGCTTCATTTCCAACGGCCACTGACAGGTGGGACAGGCGTAGTAGTACGGTTTGCAACGGTAACAAATCGTGTGACCGTTGTCGCAAGTGTACCTGGGCGCCAGTTCCATCTCCATCAGGCAGACCGGGCAAACTCCCTCGCTTTTAAATCGCTCGTTTAAGTTCGGGTACAGGCTGTCCATGATCTGCGAACAGTATTCCGCTCTTAGCTTAGGCGTTATTTATAAATTAGGCTGCCTTCGCAGGTAAACGTGCACCGAGTTGTTCGAGGTACAGTGACCGAAATAATGATATAATATATATAATAAATGTAAATAATGATATATGTATATATATCATTATTTATATTTGTATTATATACTATTATTATTATATACTTTATATATATGTACATTAAGTATATAAAGTATATAATAGTATATAATACAAATATAAATAATGATATATGTACATATATCATTATTTACATTTATTATATATATTATATCATTA